AACACTCCAACCAACTATTTCCATAAAAAATATCTCCCACTATATTCACTTGTTCAAATATGATGTGAACAATTCCTACCACAAAATACAGGCTTGATTGATAAGGGAATGTGTGACGGATATTTTTTAGATTATTTAATAAATACTAAAAAGGTATTTATGTAATGCATCGAGACACATTTGGATTTCAATTTTTCGTTTTATTTTTTGTTTATGTCGATATAATACAATTTTATGTGATTTTGAAAAAACGAAAATGTTTTTTAAATTTGAAAATATCATATAAAATTTGCAAAAAATATATTAATATTAGTATCAAATTAACTATTTAAAACTTTTTATTTGTGTATTTTTTAATTCAAAATTTTTATTATAATTTAATTCATGGTAACGAAATAACTTAATTTAGGTTTAATAATATAACATTTTATAAAGATAATAATTAAGTATTTTGTTAGAACTTAATGATTATCCTAATTATATTTTAGATTTTTTATATTTAAAATGAGATGTTTATTTTGTATTTGATTATGTTTATTTGCAGTTAGTTACACGAATTCAAATATGAAGCTTTAATAAGTTGTACTTACGCACAATCTACTTGTAATCTTGAGTTTTAAGTAATATGTATTAATAAACAGTACTTTACGTATAAAAAATGGTTTTTAAGAGTTTTTATCAAATGCTTTATAATATAGTATAGATAAGATAAATTCATAAATTTCAGTTTGATCATTGGACTTTGACAAAAATTGGAAAATATCAATAAGCCTTTTGATTATTTATTTAAAAACTATCAAAAGTTGTTCAATTAATTATATTCTTAGTCAAAAGTGTTAGGCTACAAAACAATCAAGTGAATCATGTTGACACAACACATCTACCAGCTCCTTAGACCTTCAATCTATCTCTACAACCCGCTTGTCTTGTTCCTTAATTTGATCCAGACACTAAATTAATATGTCTTTCCAAGATGATTTTAAGCACCTCAAAATTCAGCTCAAAGATGTCAGGTCAGCCACCAACAATTTTGGGGACAAGCCGATCGGAAAGGGTGGGTTCGGAAAGGTGTACAAAGGACAACTCTTTCTCGCCCAGGGACCCTGCACAGTCGCGTTTAAATGCTTAGATCGTAAATTCGGGCAAGGGGACACCGAGTTTTGGAAGGAGATCATGATGCTGTCTAAACTGAGGCATCAAAACTTGGTCTCTCTCCTATGCTTTTGCAACGACGATGCCGAGAGAATCATTGTGTACGAGTATGCATCTCGTGGGAGTCTTGATCGCTATCTTGGTGACGCTAGTCTCACGTGGACCCAACGTCTCCAGATATGTCATGGTGCTGCTTGTGGATTAAACTACCTTCATGATCCCATGAAGACACAACAAAGAATTCTCCATCGAGATATTAAAAGCTCCAACATCCTTTTAGATGAGAAATGGAATGCGAAAGTTTCAGACTTCGGCCTATCCAAAATCGGCCCGGCTAACCAACCACATACATATCTCATTTCTAATGTTATAGGTACACCTGGGTATTGTGATCCGTTGTACTGGGAGGTGGGACTGTTGTCAAAGGAGTCGGATGTATACTCTTTTGGAGTGGTATTGTTTGAAGTAATGTGCGGGAGGTTATGTTACGAATATCATAACGGTAAGCTAATTAGCATTTTGGTTAATATGTGGAAAAAGTGTTATAATGAAAAGAGACTAGATGATATCATCCATCTTGATCTAAAGGAACAAATAGATCAGGATTCGTTGAAGACGTTTTCGGCCTTAGCAAATCGATGTTTAAATAGAGAACGTAGAGAACGACCAACGATGGTCGAGATCGTCAAAGAACTTGAGGTTGCACTTCAACAACAGGTGAGTTTTCTTGTATCATTATGAGTTTGGTACATGGGACGGGACAAAACTCACTGTCCCATGTTTGGCGCAGCAAGGGACAGAACAAAAACTCACTGTCCCACGTTTGGTGCGACATGAGACAGGGACAAGAACTGGGAGAAGGTGGGACAACATGAGACAAAAGAGGTTTTTTCTTGTTCCACCAAAATAGGTGGAACAAGATGGGACATAAATTAAAATATTACTAATCTACCATAGTTTGATATATAACCTTAATATGATATTTGTTTTAATGGTCATCACCGCTATTTTCGGCCGCCGCCACCACTACCGGCGATCACCGACGGCCACCATTACCGGCGATATTTGACGGCCACCTCAACCTCCACCTCCTCTTCCACTACAACAACATCCTCCACCACCTCCACAACCACTGTCCACCAAGTCCATTGCCACCTCTACCATAGTCGACCACCGACCACCACCGTCCATTGCCACCACCACTACCATAGACGACCACCGACCACCACCGTCCATTGCCACCACCACTACTACCACCGTTCGCCACCTTCAACTCCTCCTCTGCTATAACAACCTCCTCCACGACCACCATCGTCCACCACTATTCATTGCCATCCCACCTCCACCATAACCACCACCACCACTATCTTCACTACATCAACCACAACTACCTCCTCCACCGTTGTCAACTGCTACCACCACCACAATCTACCATCTTCATGTCTTCTATAACCACCATCGTCCACCAAGCACCACTGCCTCTACCTCCATAACCACTGTCGGCCACCAACCACCATCGCCCTTTGCCACTACTACCGTCGGCCACCACCACCTCCACCATAACCAAAACCACCTCCACCTCCACCACCACCACAGCTACCATCAATTATATCAGATTTTCCAATCAAATTTGGTACAAATATGAAAATTATGTACAAATATTTATTCTTTAATTATTCATTTTATTTGTGTTAATTATAACTATTATATAATATTTAAAATCATCAAATAACTTTTTGGGTAGCTTGTCTAGTTCTGTCACGGTCAGTCCTAGTCGTACCAAACACCATACCTACCCTTATTATGTTCAGTCATGTTTTGTCCAGTCCTATCCAGTTTTGTCATGTTCAGTTTTATCCAATTGTATTTGTATACCAAACGCTTACTAAAAATATCACATATATAGATGCAATTTTCCAACACATATGAATTCACGAAATATTTTTACAGAACTTTCACCGAGACAAACCCACACTAGTCAAGACACCAACATCCTACAAATCCAAGCAAGAGTTCCATCATCTACAAATTCAACTGAAATATATAACATCGGCCACCGACAACTTCAGTATCGACAAACTGCTTGGACGTGGTCCGTTTGGACCGGTGTACAAAGGAGAACTCTATCTACAGGACGGAAGAAGCATGGTCGCTTGTAAACGCTTAGATCGTAGCCTTGGGCGAGGGAATACTGAATTTTGGAGAGAGGTCAAGATGCTTTCCAAATACAAACACGAAAATTTGATCTCTCTTTTGGGCTTTTGTGATGAAAGTGATGAGAGGATTCTTGTGTACGAGTATGCACCTCGTGGCACCCTCGGTCGCTATCTAAGCGACACTAATCTCACATGGGTCGAACGCCTTAAGATATGCATCGGGGTTGCACGTGCATTGAGCTACCTTCATGATCCCGTGGAGATAGAAAAACCGGTTATCCATAGAGACGTTAAAAGTGCAATCATCCTTTTGGATGAAAATTGGACTCCTAAGGTTACCGATTTTGGCCTGTCAAAAATTGGTCTCCCGAACGAACCACAAGAAAATATTGTGGGTACCATCGGGTACTGTGATCCATCGTATTGGGATATAGGATTCCTATCGAAAGAGTCCGACGTGTACTCTTTTGGGGTTGTGTTATTTGAAGTCATGTGTGGCAGATTATGTTTTGAATATGGTAAAGGTAAAAAAATTCGCATTTTAGTGCCGATGTGGAAAAAATACTACGAGGAGAAAAGACTCGATGATATTATCTACCACGATCTTAAGGAACAAACGGAACACAATTCTTTATATACGTTTTCAGCCATTGCTTATCGATGTTTGAAGAAAGCTCGTGAAGAACGACCACCAATAGCCGAGGTTGTGAAAGAACTTGAGATCGCACTTGAACAACAAGTAAGTTTCTTGTAGTAATCGAAATTTCCCTACGTTACATCTTTTTAAATATCGCTCATGGACGGAAAAGAGTTAATTTGACACGATATTTTCACAGGAGCTTTTCGAAAAATTAAGGACGATTGTTGATCTTGTCTCACTTCCTCCGAAAGGGATCATTGTTGGAGACGGAAAAACGGTAATTAACTTTTTCTTATTATATATTTACTAGAAGAGTACTTGTGTAATGCAGCGAAATACATCTTGATTTTAATATTTCATTTTATTCTTTATCTCAGTCGATGTTATAGTATGGTCTTATATGATTTTGAAAAAACGATAATGTTTTTATTTTTGAATAAAATACAAATTTGAAGATATCATAAAAATTTGACAAAAATATATCGATATTAGTATCAAATTAACTATTTAAATTTTTTATTTTTTGTGTAACTTTTTAATTCAAATTTTTTATTATAATTTAATTTAGGTTCAATAACGAAATAATTTATATTTGATTTAATAATATAATTTTCTTATAAAGATAATAATTAATTATTTTGTTAGAACTCGGTAATTATCCTAATTATATTTTAGATTTTTTAAATTTTAAATTGAGATATTCATCATTTATTTGATTATGTTTATCCGCAGTTAGTTACACGAATTCAAACATGTAGCTTTAATAAGTTGTACTTATGCATAATTTACTTGTAATCTTGAATTTTAAGTAATATGCATCAATAAACAGTACTTCATGCATGAAAAATGATTTTTTTTAAAAGTTTTTGTCAAATGCTTTATAATATAGTATAGATATGCCTGTGTGCATCAATTACAAACTTAAGTTCTGATGTATCATTAATCCTGAATGATGTAAACATCCGTCATATATGTCGTAAAAGATTCAAGTTCAGTATTCATGATGAATGAGAACAATAGGGACACGTGTCGTACTCTCTTTTGCCTCGATCCATAATAGAAAACAAGTTTGCAACCAAAATTATATATATATATATATATTATATATTATATATTATTTTCTATTTCTTTTAATTTTTTTTATATTTAATTAATGTTGTTTTTTTTGGCAGTGGCTTTCAATGAGCAGCAATGGGATAACTTGTGAAATGATATCTGCAATCAAATGTATTTCTGCAGACTTGCTTTCACATGATACCATACAAAATTCTAAGGTTAGCAGCTTTTTAAATGAACATGAAACACATTTGAATGGTCAAAAGTGAGGTCAACGCACACTTAATTATTCGAGGGTCGGGTGTCGTGTGGGACCTGTTGAAATTGTCAGTACGTACTCAACGAAGTTTTGTATGCATGTGATTGTGATACATATGCAGGTTTTCAAATGTCGTAAGGGGTGTAATGCACGATGGCTTCAAAGTAGAAGTGAAAACTCAGTTTTTGCTACCACGTATAACATACACTGTAAATCTCGTCTTCAAACATAGCGGTATGGATCATGGGACGCATATACCCTTCAAATTCAAATTTGATGCGGATAAGTGTTATTCTAATGCGTGCATTAGTCACGTGAGAGAAGATGGATGGTTGATGATTGAACTACGCCAATTTACAAGTTACAGAAAGGAACATGAATTTAAGATCGAGTTTTTACCGCTCTTTAGAATTAGTTCTTCGACCATTCAGTATTTTATTGACGGCATTGAATTTCGGCCTGTGGAATATGTAAGCTAACGTAATGAATTTCTCACTTAAACATGGTGCTACACTGTACGTACTAACTTCTTCGTTTTTTTTGCCTCGAAAACTCGAATAACTCGAATGTTTTGGGATATTGTAAGTTGGAAAGTAGATTATACGTTGTTAATGCGATAATGCTTGAAAAGTGAACATCTTCTAGTGTTTTTTGTGAAAAATGATGATGACAAAGCAGTTGTTCAACGAGGCCTCTATGATTAGTTGAGGTGCACGCAATCTGATCAGAACACCCACTATTAACAAAAAAAAAACGTTACAAACTCCAAACATCTCATCTCGTTGTTATTTAACCAACCGTTGGACTGTTTTGTACACCAACTTAATTTCAGAGGTGTAGTATGGGATGGAATTTCAATGGAAGATGGAGCTTGTCACCGGTAGAACTCCTTGTTGTGTCTTCAAAGGATTATGAGGGTTGGTTCATTGACAATCCCAATGGATATCTTGAGACATCTTAGCCCATATGAGACTTGTGCAATACTTATCATTGTCTGCACAAGTCTCACATGGTTCTAAGACCTGGAGATATACATCGGGATTGTCAATGGATTGGATCACCTTCATAATCCTCTGGAGACAAAACATGGAGTCCTACATTGTGACATAAAGAGCTTCAACATCTTATTGGATGAGAAGTAGGAAACTAGAATTTTTTCGATCAACCTTTTGAAATCTAATGTGATTTTGGTATCACATTAGATTAGGAATTTGTTTACAACATGAAATCTATTTCAATTTACAATAAGAATGATCTACTTATAACTTTCTAGATGCTTAACAAGAATAGGACATAAGTTTAATGTTCGATTTTCTTTCTCTACTGTTATTGTCGTTCATCGTGCAAGATCAATGCTAGAGGTGGTCATGGTTGCGCCAGTTGAACCGTCTTCAAGGGCATCTGGTGCTACGAAGTACATGGGCACTGGCATCACCTTCGGAAGATTTGGGATTGAACCCTCGAACTTGAGCACCTGAATTGCTCTCCGGATGGATGGCCTCATACTCCGGTCAGGGTGTGCACACCATAACCCCACTAACATCAAACACTCGACTTGTTTCGCATCAAACTTGTTATTCAACATATGGTCCACACCGGAAAACAGCTCATGTTTTCCGAGTAAACGCCAAACCCACTGAACCAATCCCACATCAGGATCTTTGTCGACATTATCCATTGCCTTCCTCCCACAAGCGATCTCTAATGCAACAACCCCGAAGCTATACACATCCGACTCTTTGCTGGCCTTTCCTGTTATTGCATACTCAGGAGCCATGTACCCTAAAGTTCCGGCTAAACCAGTTGTTTGTAAACCCAATTCATGGTCCGAAACTCGAGCCAATCCGAAGTCTCCCAGCTTCACGTTGAATCCTGAATCGAGCAAGATGTTGCTCGTTTTGATATCTCGATGCACCACGCATTGTTCACACTCTTCATGGAGATAGAGCAAAGCTGAAGCTAAACCTAGAGCGATCTTGTACCTCACGGCCCACTCAAGGGTAGTCTTTTTGCGGAAGAGATGAGAGTCAAGGCTGCCGTTAGGCAAAAACTCATAGACGAGCAAGAATTGTGTTTGATCATGGCACCAACCGAGGAGTTGCACCAAGTTTCGATGCCTTAAAATGCTGATGATCTTCACTTCAGCTAAATACTCTTTCTTTCCCTGTTTAGAACCTTGAGATATCTTCTTGACAGCTATCGGCATGCCTTCACGGAATAAGTAGCCCTTGTAGACACACCCAAATCCTCCCTCGCCCAACTTATGATCATCTGAGAAGTTGTTGGTAGCCAAAGTGAGATCGTTGTATGAAAATCTTTTGGGTCCTGCACCTCCTTCAAGATCATCGTTTATCGATGGTGCCACAGTAACCGTCTCTAGCGATTCTTCTGTAGATCTTCTTTGTCTTCTCCAAAGTACAATACATGCTACTATGCCTCCTATAACTAGAACACCAACAGGGACTGCTAAGCCCAGTACCAGTTTGCTTTTGTTTGAGGTATCTTCACTTATAGTATTGAAGCTTGAATTGAACTCCCAATATCGAAGGATATGCGTCTCAACAAATGAACCCGTGGCACCCGAAAATCCAATCGTTACCCATTCGGGAAGAGCTTCTCTTAGATCAACTTGATAAGAAAGAACGTTGTTTTCTGTAGAAGTAGATTCAACCGCATAGCGCCAAGATATGCTCAGCATCTGGGTGGTAGCGCTGTAAGAAATCGAAGCATCTGCAGAACGTCCGCTGTGCAAACTAGCATTCCAAGGAATGTATTCAACAGAATGAATAGAGTTCATGTTTATGCCCACATGTTCAAATGGAGGATCCCATGAGTTTACGAAACTATCGAACTCAACGACAATCATTTGGCTTCCGGGCGAGTCGGTGGTAGTGGTGTTGAACACACCTAAATAGGAACCAGCTGAGTTGGGTACGATTTCGAAGCCGACTGGTGCAAGAAAGAAAGCGAACCCATCGCCGTAAAGCGATTGGCCTTTTGTATCGATGATGAAAGTGAAGTTCGTAGTGAAATCTACGAGCTTCCCAGATTTGCTGTCCCATATCTGGACTGCATCGGAGTATTTGGCTTGGCCAACACTAATGTCATTGTCAACTCGGTTGAACCATATGTCTCCAGAAAAAGGTACTGCATCACCTGAATAGACCATATTTCTTGCATCAAAATCATGGATCTCAAAATGTATTGATTCAGACAAAGGCAAGAAGAAGAAGGAACTACAGATAAAGAGAATGATACAAGCAATTTGGAGACGTGGAGATGATGAACATGTGAAAGATGTAGCCATGATTAGGCCAAAACATTAGACACAAGGTTGGAAATGTACATAAATACCATCCTGCGAATTCAACCTGGCTAAAATATTACAACCACAAAAAATATAACAAATTAATTAGGAATTATAAAATCATAATGTAACGAGACAGATCTCGATTTTAATATTCTATTTAATTATTTGTCTTTGTCGATATTATAATACGATTTTATGTGTTTTTAAGAAAACAAACAATGATTTTATTTTTGAATAAAATATAAATTTGAATATATCATAAAAATTTTAAAAATATATATATCAATGTTAATATCAAATCAACTATTTAAAAATTCTCATTTTTTTATGTAATTTTTTTTTAATTTTTTTATTATAATTTAATTTAAGTTTAATGATGAAATAATTTATTTTTGGTTTAATAATATAAATTTTATAAAGATAATAATTAAATATTCTGTTAAAAAGTCAATAATTCTCCTAATTATATTTTAGGTTTTTATATTTAAAATGAGATGTTTATCTTGTATTTGATTATGTTTATCTGCAGTTAGTTACACGAATTCAGATATGAAGTTTTAATAAGTTGTACTTACGTACAATCTACTTGCAATCTTGAGTTTTAAGTAATATGTATTATTAAACAGTACTTTATGTATAAAAAATAGTTTTTAAGAATTTTTATCAAATACTTTATAATATAGTATAGATAAATAAAAATAACAAAAAATAGAACGACTTATTGGTCAATTTTGGAAAAGTATGTGGTTTTAGGGTTGCATATGAAAGGTTCCATGCAGATGCACAGGTCTTTCCGATATTTCGAAGAAAAACATGTTTATAAAAAAGTCAAATACGATTACGACGGATGTGGATTGTGGATGAATATTTTAGAGCAAAATGTATAAAATAGCAATTTATTTTTATAAAAAAAAATTATTATAATATTATACTTTCAGTTTTTTCTTATTACAACAATATATATTTTCAAACTATTTTTTATTAGGACATTGTACTTTGAAAAATTTACCCATTATAACATTGGGTAACTTTTTGATTTAAATTTACCCATTATATCAGGTTTTCATGTCATCTCATTGTACAAGTAGGTTGTCCACATGTATTAGTGATGTGACTTTCTTATTACAATATTGTACTTTCAAAATTATTTTATTATAGCAACTATTAGTTCTTATTAAACAATGTACTTTTAATTTTAATATTTAGATATTTTACATGTTATTTAATAAATATATTAAATGGTTTAAAAAAAATCTAAATTATTCATTAATATAACAATATTAATAAAAACAAGCAGAAGACAACTTATCTCGCTAATATATAAAAAAATGTGTGTTTTTTGAAAAAAGAAAATAAGAATTGTTCATTTTTTACCAAAAAAATATTATTTATTAAAAAACTTTTACTAGACGTATGAATATATTAAATCAATTAGATTTTTTGAATTATTTATTAATATAACAAAATCAATAAATTGTATATCACAATTTATTTCGTTAATATTTTAGAGAGAACTTTAAAAGATTTTTTTTTGAACAAAATAAAATAAGAAGTGTTACATTTTTTTACAAACAAAATATATCTCGAAAATAATGTATTATATTTATTCCAGGAATAATTTACTCTACAATATTTAATTTGCATGCAACTTAATAAGAAAAAATCAAAAAAATTAAATGTTCTTTTAAATCATAGTAATGGAAAATGAAAATCACTAATAATAATTTGAAATAAATTTTTATTTTTATTTTAGTTAAGTCATCAAAATGATGTGTCATCTACATCACTTTATTAAAGTCACACAAGCAAAAAAAAAGTCAAGGGGTTAACCGGTTTAAAAGGTAACAGGTTATCCATTGCTATAATAGGTACATTTTTTAAAGTGTGATGCCTTAATAAAAAAATTATTTGAAAGTACATTGCTGTAATAACAAAAAACAAAAGTAGAATGTTATAATAAGAAAATTTACGAAAGTTGCTGTATTTAACCCAATATTTTATACGATCAGAATATCTTCAAATGTAAGGTTCTTATAAGTTAAAATCAATGATATATTCTAGATAGTTTTTATAAGAACCTCACTTTTTTCGTGCTCTTGTACAAAAACATTGGTTTTTACCTTAAAGTTGGTGTGAAGTGATAATTTACTGGGTTTTTTTATGTATTTTCTTAACTTATATATATCCAACATAATAATTAATATGGATATATTCATTTAACTTAACAGAACCCACAAAATGGAATTCTTATAAGTTTTATGTAGATTATTAGTTAGGGAAGTCAGAAATGACTTAATAATTAAGAAGAATACAAAAAATAGGCTTATATAAGAACCTTCCTCAGATGTGAGCGTTTAATTGGTTTTCTATTCAGTTATTAAGCTAACATTTGTCTATTACCGGACGATGAAGATAGTGACGACATTTATTGTTAGTTGAATCATACTTTCGTCATTCACATTTCACGATCAAGTCTGAAAAAGGAATGAATTTTTTTAAATACATTTATTCGTAATGTCGTATTATTATATTATATATGTATCAATATATTATATTCTTTTAAATTGAATTAGATTAATTGATATACGTTACTAATAAAAGTTATATAGATTATACACTACTAAAAAAGGCGGATTTCTGACGAATAGGCCCGTCAGAAAACCCATGTCGTTAAATATAATTTCTGACGGATTTTCTGATACATTCGTATTTTCCGGCAGACATGACCGTCAGAAGTCTGTCCGAATTGTTTTTGATATTTTCTAATTTTACTAAGTTGATTACTGGTTTTACGAAATGTGATTAATTTTACCGTCGGATTTCCCATCGGTAATTTTATTTGAATTTTTTTTTCCTTTGATTCAAAATAAGAACTGGTTTTATTTCTACTAATAAAAATACAAACTTCTGATGAAAATCCGTCGGAATTTCCACCTGTAACTTTATTCTAAAAATGTTTTTTCTTATTTTAAAATATGAAATGTTTTTTTTAAGAATTTAAAATAATTACCGATGGATTTTCCATCGAAAACCCGTCGAAAAAATTCACCAGAAAATTTATTTTCAATAAAAAAATTAGGGACGGATTTTCCGTCAGAAAGTTGTCGGAAAAGTAGATGTTACATAAAAAAACCAATAATTTAAAATCCTGGAATATAAAAATTCTGTAAACTAAATACAAATATACACTCCAGAAATCCGTCATAAATATTTAATATGATTACCTGGAAGAAATAATATACAGATATAAATTCTTCAACTAAAATAAAGTACGATTGTTCGGTGATACTACCTACTACTATATAACACATAACATATAACACATAATTTACATATATCAAACCATATTGATATCAGTCATTGTACACATTGAGTTCCATCATATCAAAACTATAAAGTAATTTGAAACAGCGTACAAACTTTTCGCTAAGAAAATCTTAAAACAAAATATTCCTATATAACAGTAGATCAAAAGCAAACTTCCATAAAATCTTCAAGTGGCTTCATAGATAATCTCCGAACAGATAATTTCATAACTTTCCTTTTCCTTTATCATTTAAAAGCAGCTACACTGAAGTATAAATTTTGGAAAACAAATTGAGGGTTAGACCATTCGGTCTAGTGAAGAAATCCGTGACGGTTTCAATAATTTAATATAACCCAATTGTAGTAAAACATTCAAATCTTTTAATCTCGAGTTTGCACTCACGCTTAATATCCCTCCCAGACAACTTGCCACAACAGTTGCTACTCAAAATCACATACCCATATAAGGTTGCAGTCCATGGCGGTTGTGGCTTGCTACACAAAACAAATTTGTGGACACTATAAATATAACCCCCCCCCCTCACAGACCATCGTAGTCCTAACCCTCCGTGCTTATGTTGTGCAAAACCATTTGATAATATATGCATTTCAGATAAAAAATGGTTATAAAAAAAACTCACATTGATCACGAGAATACTTAAAATTCTTAACAGGTGATGAACCCCGATAACCAACACTCGAAATCGAATCAGATAAGCTTGGATCACAATTAAGAGAGATGATCTCAATATTAACATCAAAGCTTTAAATTGCTGATCACAAGTAAAACAATTCTTCAATTTAAAGAGAAATAAAAAGGAGAAAACCATACCTACAAATAACTCAACACTAAAGATGCAAAAAGCTTTAATTATGCTCCAACTTGATTCCTCTCAAACTTTCAAATCGCACCAACCCACACGCTTGAGCCATACGTTTGCTAGATCTAATCATGGAATCGGTCCAAGCACATTGGATCAGCCACCAACGGATACCAAAAACAACGGCTCAACCTCTATGACTCGGTCTATTTCGGACCATCCCAAACCAAACCTCTAGCTTCCTACTTCTCATCCAATGGATGATGGAGCTCTTTTAGTCACCAGGTAGAACTCCTTGTTGTGTCTTCAAGGGATTATGAGGGTAATCCAATTCATTGACAATCCCAAAGGATATCCTGAGACATCTGAGCCCATGTGAGACTTGTGCAATACAAATCATTGTCCGCACAAGTCTCACGTGGTTCTAATACCTGGAGATATACATCAGGATTGTCAATGGATTGGATCACCTTCATAATCCTTTGGGGACAAAACATGGAGTCCTACATCGTGATATAAAAGAGCTCCAACATCCTATTGGATGAGAAGTAGGAAACAAGAAATTTTTTCAATCAACCTTTTGAACGTTCACTCTCGGTCAAAAACTTACCCATAAACCAAGCAACCGTTACTATTGCCATAGAAGCCGAAGAAGAGTTTATGTGCAAAGATCCAACCCCTTTTACAACAAACTCCATCCTTTGCACACCCTCCCGGTCCATTGAGCAAGATTTTGAGGTGTTCCATCTCTTCCCATCTGTGCCAGCACCAAGGCGAGCGTAACACAGTTGGTTCGAGGTGGTATACTTGCCAAACTCTTCCATCTGCAAAATTGTTTGATAATCAAATGCAAAACCAAGAGCTACAAGCAAGTACAATGGCAAAGTACCAACATACATAAGACTAGCCAAAAACCCATAAGACCATGGTGCACCAATGCTCCTCCACATTTAATAACCAAACCAAAGAAACCCAGTATACCCATCCAGAAGTAGGGTCTAAGTAAAAAAAGAAAATTAGAAACCATAAGCTATAAGCTCCTCGACTTTAAATGGTAAAAGAAGTTTCATAAAATGTACCCGTACTAGCGTCCAAGCTTTCTTAGCAACCATTTTTTTCGTAATGAAGCATCCAATGCCAAAAAGGTCTTTGCTTTTTTCTCGTCCTCAAGAATATCACAACCATCCAATAAAAGATCATCATCTATGTCGGGTATAGCTTGAAGTGCATCAACTGCTCTTTCTATGGAAACGTAGTTCTTTTCCGTCTTTCCATTCAGCAACTTTGAAACTACATTAGCCATATCAGTAAAAGCTTCCGTTATATCATCTTTTTCGTTTTTTTGCACTTTGACAAAACGTCCTAAAGCTAATGGCATCTCCGTCACCCGTTTTTGCTTCTTGTTAACTGTTTCGGTTTCTTTAGGCAATATTTGACAATTTTTACCAATTTCAACGTTCTCGATGCCTGATCGATAATCAGAATTTGTTGTTATGTTCTCCGAACAGAAGCCTTCATACATGGTGTCACCTCCTAAAATGGTATACAAATCTTTGTGGTGTCTCAAGACTCTGCCCTTGAATGAAGTTGCTTGAGGGTGTTCCTGTTGATCATCATAGATGTAGGCTAAATGCACAACTGAAATTGTTCTCGTGAATAATTCAACCACAATATCCATCAAAAGCCTCAATAATTTAAAAAGAGAGAAAGGAAAAACTTGAAGGGGTGTTAGGCCAAAAAGAAAATCAAGGAAAACATCCTGGCTCTCAATAATGACAACTAATTCTTCCTTTAAAAAATCAAAACATTTGACTTGATATACAGTTTAATGAATATTATCCATCATGAATGTCATGCATTTTCGTTATTCATGATATTCATCATGAATATCTATCACGATATTCATCATGAATAATTCATGACTAGTTGGTTCTCACAGTTCTAAAAATATTTACAGTTCTCAAATAAACCTACTCCTACCTGTTAAATATCTAATTAACTAATTAAGATATCCAGTAATCCGGCAAATCCAAGATCAATACCATCAATCTGATTTTAATTTTAGTGACTATCATGCACAATAGAAAATCTTAACATGGGAATTTAGAATCCCACAATAAAATAGGAAAGACTAGTTTTCATAACTTTGTGCCCATGACCCTCCAAAACGACTAAATAACCATACGGGTTGCCCTAAGGCCAGCCCCCCGAATCAAAACTCTTAACTACAATACGAAACAAAACATAAGGGACCTTACCTTGATATAAGCCTCCCATGCCTCATCATTAGCATCAATTGTCTGGCAAGTGTCATCCCACGAAAAACCATTTTGATTAAGAAGACATTCGACTTCATTAAACTGTTTCATGAAGTACGTGTATCGATTTCGTAGACTTTGATTGTCATGTTGTAATCTACATCTTTCGTTAAATGATGTTGTAATCACCGTCCAAATTTGGTCATCAAAACCATGAACAATCTTATTCCCTCCGTGCACCTGCTCTAGCAGAAGTTCAATAAAGCATTCATCCATTTCGGATGTCCAATCGTTATCTTCTTTTGTCTCGGAAAATAAATGGCTGTCGTTACTTTCACCTACAAGCAGATAAAGCATGCATAAAGCCTTCATAATTGTCACACAAATCCATACTATTCCCAAATTTTGAAGAAATACACACTTGACCTGTAAAGTGATATAAGGCATCTTTTTAACATACAGAAACTATCATGAATTTCATACCGGACATACATACCTATACTTGAGATGGGAGCAACATCTAAGGCTACATTGCGTGCCAAACGACTATATCGTCCCTCAGAACTATCTTCACCATAAATAATACACAACTTGTGGTAATTAGGCACAGTTTTAACTCTGTAAGATCTTGCATCAGGATGTACCTGCATATATTTTACTTGAGAAAAGCAACAAAACTCTGACCAGGGAAACGGTGGTACAAGTTTCCCCGAAGGAAGCAACAAGAAAAAATGTTCACCTCAATGTAAGCATCCCAAATATGATCCGAGGCTGCCACCATTTCTCGTGCATCATCCCAAGAAAATCCAGTCTCCTTCAAAAGGGTTTTTATGTCATTATACTGCCTCTTCAGATGTTTGTATCTATTCTTCAAAACATCTTTGTCATGGTTAGATGTAAAATTGGCATTAAACGATTTAGCCATGTCAATCCAAGCCTGAGCAACAAATGTCTGCCCAATTCTGTTTCCTCTGTTCACTTGGTCAAGCAATAAGTCGATCAAATAACGGTCCATCGGCGGCGTCCAATACGTTCTGGAGCGTTCGTTACCTACAGCAATGTAGGATACAACAGTCTGTAAAGATCTAATGATTTTATAGGCATGGTTACTCTAAAGAGGATAACTAATCATGGTTCAAGATACTGTAAGCTATTGCATACACTTATTGTAGTTTTTACTAACTGACATGGTTATGGTTTTATCACACGAAATAATTCTGCTACTTGTGAGCACATAAAAATTGATAGAAACAAAAACAAGTTGAAGTTCTGCAAAAATTCACGCACCAGTCTTAGATCCTACTATATCTTCTTCAAGGTACTTATCCAAGTTATTACTTTGAGATCCATTTATGATCACACTGCCAAATACTGATTCCAAATCTGTATAATTTGGCATAGATTTTGTTCTATATGATCGTGCTTGTGGGTGTGCCTGCAATTAACGTTGCTCACATTACTATAAATACAAAAGAAGAAAATGACGAAATAAATTGCTAAATCATCAACCATACCTTTATGTAAGCATCCCAAACATCATCATTAGCGACTACCTTTTGCTCCTTTGCATCCCAGGAAAAATCATCTTGTTTGAGCAAAACCGCCATATCAGTATAATACTTGAAGAGTTTCTTGTACCGATGTCTTAAGACTCTTTTGGTATGTTGGGGGCCAAATTTTGCATTGAAAGAAGTGAGCATCTCAGTCCATGCTTCTTTGGTATATGAATTATCAAGTTTATTGCCTTTTTCACGTTGGTCTAATAATAAACCGATAAAAAACTGGTCCATGGCTGATGTCCAATCTGTCCTTGAACGCTCAGTATTTGAAGGAGTTGGACTTCCAAGTCCATCACCTGAACAGAGTAAAAATATTACGTTCGCCTGCACACAAACCCAGTTCTGTATATGTAGATGGGATATTCAGATACGATCACCCAACTGATACTACAAATATATAGGTAGGGGGAAAATCAAATCAGAACCATAAAAATGTTGAGAACCATGAAAACCAATCCCAACCATTGAATGAGTTTCATTTTAAGCTAGGACTCAAGGTATCCGTCTTGTTCATGTGTGTATGTGAGTGTGAGTGTGAGTGTGAGTGTGAGTGTGTGTTTCATATATGAAATGTATAGGCATGCTTTGTTTCTTTCCTGGACCTCAACTTGAAACTAGAAGAAACATCAAAACCTAGCATTTGGCCTGGATGAGACTCGCTTTTTATGCCATGAAGTTGAGCACCAAACTTAGGTGGGTGGTGGAATGTTATGGGTGGTGTTGAAGGTGAATTAAAGATCAGGATGACAAAGATCAGCTTGTGCACACCACAAGCCACAAGTGAACAATAATCATACAAAGACCATGTATAGCATCATAAAGTCATTAAAATATGGCAACATAAAATCCAAATCTTCGATTAGATCTAGGAAAGATACAAACACACCTAAATTCACTCCATGGGTTTCATCACAAATATCCATATCATGACTTGACCGACTATATCTTCCATCAGCAGTGGTATACCCATATATCAAACATAAATCACTGAAGTTCTGCACTGCTTTGGTCTTGTATGGCCGTGCATCTGGGTGTGCCTGCAAATATTCACCATAGTAAGCATGTGGGATCGTTCTACTTTTAATAAGTTTAGATTATTGATGATATAATTTTGCACCTTGATGTAGGAATCCCAAACATAATCATCTGCAACCACCATATGCCGATTTTCATCCCAAGAAAATGCACCTTGACCAAGCATATTCTTGACATCATTAAATTGCTTCCACAAATTCGTATAACGACTTTTCAGTACATCTTTATCATATTGTGATCCAAATTTTGCATTAAAGACAGCAAGCATATCAGTCCATGCTTGTTTGTTAAATGTATGTCCAACCCTATTCCCTTTTTGAATATGTTCCAGCATAAGATCTACAAAGTAACGCTCCATCGTTGGAGTCCAGTAAGTTCGTGAACGGTCATTGCCTGTGGGAACTTGGCTACCCATTGTCCAGATTAGACCATATATCTGCAAAAAGCTTAAGTTAATTATTTCATTGTAGACAATAAAAAGAGGTATAACTATTAAGTGTCCAAAAGAGCACACAAGACTGAAGTCATGAACCCATCATCATGTAAAAGCTTAATAGTAGATCATTCCCTAGCATATAAGGCCTCCATCATATATGCTGGAAAGTGGAAACATATGTATGAATTTTGCAGGTATTTTCCATTTATAAACAATACATCATACACATACCAAGAATATCCATCATCGCATAAAAGCTTAATAATAGATACTTGACACAAATCTTACGACCTCAAGACATATGCTGAAAAAAATATGTAAGAATTTGCAAGTGCTTTCAAACTTCAAACAACATATCATGCATTTGCTAAGACCATCCACCATTGCATAAAAGCTCCATAAGTATCTTTTATGACCTCCATATTTACACGAAGAAAACATATATGAATATTGCAGGTACGTTCGTCAAACTATTTATCATACATATGCACCTCTGGAGCTTCAAAATTTAAACATCATATTTCCTTTCAAAAGAAATGACAGATTGGACTGACTGTTGTATCTCAGTATCTACTAATCCCTGCCAACTTGAGATTGAAGATTTATTTCCCATTCATTTGTATTGATTTCTACTCATCAATTGCATTTCAAGATAGGGAATGTTTCATTAAAGCATGATATTTGCAATTAGTTTCTCTTTTTCGCATGGCTTCTAGTATATTCTACACTTGAGACTTCTGTTGATCATGTCTTGGGCTTCTTATTCATGGAATCTCCCATCTTTTCACATCATTAACCTAAATGGAGGTTAAGGAACACGTTATATGCCTCCTCTTTCAAGTTTCTCCTATTGGCATGGTGCAAATTTTTCTTTCTTACATTTGATTCATTAGCCCAATCCATTTATCTTCTCCTTTTACACATTTTACTTGGAGGGGCCTAAAAGATTTCTAAGAATAAATCTTTTAGTGTTAACCAAAGTATTTGTGATAAGCAGCTTAAACTTGATATTTTGAAGGATCTCTAAGCTTCACCCTGTATTTCCCTGCACTGTAACCCAAAAGTTCTAACCTTGGTTTTGTTGCTACACACAGATGCATAGTAGTGACGACCCTTAATGTTCTAGTAACCATAAAACATATGAAATAACAAAAAAAAAAAACCATGTATATAAAGAGCCTTATGCATAACAAGTTAAATTACAAATACATTACTTAATTCCATGCTCCCATCTTTTGATTCAGTTGAATCACTAAATGGAGCAAAACTATATGATATAAACAATTACATTTGCATCAATTAAAAAAGTAACAAATCAATTCCCTAAACAATAGTTGGAACTAACGCCATCCCAAATTGTTCAATAATTAATCAGCAAACAGATGCAAGACCTTAGATTTATAGTTACAAACACGAATCGCATACGCATTACAATCGAACAAACAATTTTGCACCAAATCCAAGCTACCGAGAGTGAAAACTCACAGAATTCAACCATTTTCAAGCCAGTTAATCGAATCAAAGAAATGGAGGAGGAGTAGAAAACACATAAGAGAAAAAGTTCTTACAAATTATTGTGTTGGTGGAGTAGGAATAGATCTTGATGAAGGGAGCGATTGGGGAAGTGATAACCCTAGTCCCGAATAAGGAAAGGTAAAGGGGCCGCTGGTGTTTGGCTACGTTCGGAATTATATGGTGTTTTAATTAGGGTTTCAATAATTTGGGCCATGTTTTGACGAAGGCTTAAAATAGAACCATATCCGGGTGGGTAATTTTTAGGTATACAATTTTTTAATAATTTAATTAGATTTAAAGATCGTTTATCAAACACTTACCTGACAAATGTTTAACGGTAAAATTTAATATTATTATATACTTATCAGGTAAGATTTTAGTCAATTAAAATGACATAGTATATAATAATTTACCTAGTAAACGTTTACCGTGGTAAGAGTTATCGTCCTTACTTACCGGATAAGACTCTTTATCCTTGTCTCGCTCTTACCAGGTAAGATTCTTGATCCTTACTATAAGAACCAAAAATGTAATTTACTCTGAAATAGTTTTTTTCAAATATTTCTATTGAAAATACAAATCAAATTTCTTATATTAAAGTGCATTTTAAATATTAATAAAATTATATTTGTTTAAAAATCATTAAATTGACAAAATGACTTTTACTTTAAGAAATCCCTAAGTTTAGAAAACTAAAAGAAATCAAAAGATGTTCACACACACACACACATATATATATATATATATATATATATATATGAACAGTCTTCTTTCATAAAGTAGATAAACACGTTTACAGTCAAATGAGTGACTCCATACTATACTATACTTAGAAAGGTATTGATATATGCAAGTTAAGTATTGGAAATTAATTAAGTACAGTTAACTTGAGATTATTAATATACAATTAAAACTACAAATAATTAAAATAATAACAAACTAAAAATACAAATTACATATAAATTAAGATTAAAAAACATCGAGTATTCAAACAATTTAAGAAAGCTATTACCAAATTCTATAAAAATAATGCCTAATCATACGAGCAACTATAAAGAAAACATTTTTTGTCGAGAATAAAGTTGATCTATAAAAAAAATATTTTTAATCCCAAAACCATATAAATTTTTTAAAATTATTACGTTTTTAATAATATTTTAATTGTTATATCAATTTAATTGTTTTAGTTTATTCACAATATTTGATAATTCAATTTAATAATGTCTCAAAACATAATTATTATTTTTTTTAACGAACAAATTTTAATATATAACTATCTCACGTTAATTGTACTTAACTTCCAATACTTCCACAAATTCTCTTGATTTTCTAAATTTGAGAATTTTTAACGCGAAAAATCAATTTTATCAATTTAATAGTTCGTTAAAATAAATATAAAGTTTATTTAATATAAGAAATTTGATTTGTGATTGGAGATTGGAGATGTAAAATAGTGTTTGAGTGAATTACCCTTTTGGTCTCTATAGTTTACCAAGACCAATTAGTCCATCGTAATGGTTGTCAACTGACGATATTAACTGTAGAGACGACGAGTGTTATAAAACCGAAAAGTGGACCATCAGTTATAGTTTGTTTTAGGGATCAAATCCAATTTTTAAATAAACCACAGGGGCCACGAATGTAATTCACTCTTAAATTTATGATATTCTTATTTTTTTAATAGGTACTCGTGCAATGCAGCGAAATATATCTCGATTTTAGTGTTTCGTTTTATTTCGTCTCTGTAGATGTTTTGTGTAATTTTTTATAATTCAATTTTTATTATTATAATTTAATTTAGATTTAGTAACGAAGTAATAATATGAATTTTTATAAAGATAATAATTAAATAGTTTGTTAGAACTCAATGATTATCCCAATTATATTTTAGATTTTTTTTTATATTTAAAATGAGGTATTTATTCTCTATTTTGATTATGTTTATCTATAGTTAGTTACACGAATTCAAACATGAAGCTTTAATATGTTGTACTTATGCACAATTTACTTGTAATCTTGAATTTTAAGTAATATGTATTAATAAACAGTACTCCATGCTTAAAAGATGGTTTTTAAGAGTTTTTGTCAAATGCTTTTTTAATATAGTATAGATAAACAAACACAAACACAAACTAACCAAAAGGAACAAAACCAAAACACAAGTTTTTCTATATGAAATAAAAACAAAACAAAAGAAAACAAACAAGAAGCTCCGGATCCAACTCCAAGACACCAAAACCCAACACAAAACAAAACAAAACAAAAAATGAGCGCAAACAAGCCTCATAAACGTAGCAAAACAACAAACATCCAAGACCCAAGAGAAATGGTAGAAAACAAGCAAAAAAAACCATTCTGAATGCGAAAACTTAGGCCTTTGGAATGGTTCTTGGGTTGCTTCACCAATCTGTCGCAGAAATAGTGAAACTTTTTGTATAATGAGCTTATTATTTAAATGATAAACGTTGGATGTTGAAAGCCAAGTTTGATTGCGAAACAACCGGATCTGGAAACACCACTTTATTGTCAAAACTAACTTCACAAAAAAATGTACTCTGTAAAGTCTCTACATACATACTCTCTCTTGATTTAACAGTTCACCATGTGAAAATACATGAAACACTCAAACCTATTCTCCAAAAGAATCATTGAACAAAGAATGGAGGTTTTATCATACATATATGATAAATGGTCCAAGTCCAATCAATGTGGGACTCTAACATGCCCCTTCCAATGGAAACTAGATGAGCACAAAATGTCCCTGAATGGCGAAAGGGTGCTAGATGTAACACCCGTGTTTTCATTGTAGCCATTAAAATATAAATTTCAGAAAACGGCCAAGGAACGATCGGAGAACGGCTGAGAAAACAGTTATTTGATGTATTATGAAAATTTTAAATTAATCGGGTTTTTTTCCATAAATTATGGTGTTACACTAGACGGGTGAGGTGGCTAGACATATATAGATGGCCACAAAAGTGTCAAGTCCCTAGCTAGAGTGGTAGAAATTAGCTTTAATATTATCTGAGAATATGTAGAGCGTCCATATTTACTCTCCAAAAAAGCCTTTTAGGTCTAGCCGATGTGGTACTCTAACATATCAAACGTTTTTTTTGTAACTGTGGTGTCTAGATCAGCTTGCATGCTTGCATACACCTTGATTAATGTAATGAGCCTTGATGTTAATACTCTAGTAAACGTTCAACGACAATAAGAGGATTCAAACCGGTGAGTAATAGGCAATAAACTCGGAAGAGTGGATATGAAGACGAAGGATTGAAAAAGAAAAGATGGAAGAAGGTAAAGATAAAAAATATTTTTGATAGATATAATTATTTTATATTTGTAAATTAAAGGTAAAAATATTGTGTAAATGATGCATTTCTCGACGACACACATGGAAACACAAGCGAAATAGACCAGTTACGTGAAATACATACATTTAATATTCACCTAGTTTTAAAACTATCTGAACTCATCTTAGCCCTTTTAGTTGATATCCCTTTGATACTCGGCTTGTTAAGTTGTCTTGATACCTAAATAAAATTGGGGTTCATATGAAAATGATAACCAAATAAGAAAATAAGAGAATAAATATGAATCATACAATCCATTAAATAAATAAGGGCATAAAAGTATTATTTAAGATATTTA